CCGGCTGCAGCATGCGCGTCCGCCGGGGGCTGCTGCGGTTGCCGCGCCGCTCGCTGCTGGCCGCGCTCTTCTTCTTCTCGCTCTCGTCGTCGCTGCTCTACTTCGTCTATGTGGCGCCCGGCATAGGTAGGATGGGGACCTGGGACCCCAGGGGTGCCGCTCTGGCCTCGAGGAGACCCCGGGAATCCCCCGCCCCTCCCGGAGGGGACCCCTTCTCTCGGAAGACCGCCCCCCACCCGGAGGCGACCCCGAACCTGGCTTGCTGAAGACCCCAGAGACCTGGCCCCGACCCCCCGAGACTCCCATGCCTGGTCCTTGGGGGACGCACAGGGCATCTCCGTCTCTGCACCCCGATGGGCTCCGGCAGCCCCTTGGCCACGCTGCCCTCCCGCCCACCCCCAGCGCTCCGAGCAGACCCCATCCCCCGGCGAACCCGAGATTGCATTCACAACACCCCCGCCCTTCGTACTGGGACCCCTCCTTTCCCGCCCTTGCCTTCTTAGAACCCCTCTTCCCGCTCTTGGGTTGGAGAACGCCCGTGTCTGCCCCGGGGGCTCAAGTCCAGTTTGCCGGCGCCCGGCGCACACGGAACCCCCGCAGCCAGGCGCCCCTGCTCGCCCGGGTCTGGGGCGCCCTGCCTCGCGGGTTCCCATCCATCCTTCTCCCTCCTCCCTGGTGACTCCACCGTTTCCTGCTCCACCTCCCTCCGCTTTCTTCCCTCCACTTTCCCTGTTACATGCCCTCCCGGTTCTCCTCCCCAGCGCACACGCGTTCTCTTCCTCCGTGCGGCCGGGTCCTTTTCCTCTCCGGGGGGCACCCCCTGTCATCTTAAGGTGGCCACCCCCTGGGCAATCTGCAACCCTTTGGCAGTCCCGCGCCGCGTCCCCATCTGCGCCCCCACCCCCTGAAAATGTTTGTCAAGGACATGGTAGGGAAGGGACCATGTGGGCCAGAGAAGTAGCTGCAGTCGGATTGTTCAGACTATTTGGGAACTTTGATC